CCCCCCCCCCCCCCCCCCCCCCGCCCGCAACTAGATCTGAGTTCCAAAACTGGTTGTTAGAGACCTGGCCTTTTTCTGAGGCACACAGGTCAAGTACCTTCCTCTGAGCCACAGGGTCCTCAATGGCAGAATCCTGGTAAATGACTTCCTAAGATCACAGTTTGTAAGTGCCCAGGACGATCTAGATCGGCACCGTTCTTCCTTCTCTCCTTCCATCATGCACAACTCTGCCCCTCGCAGGGTCTACCACCACCCCCCACCCTGACAAAACGAATGCTCCCCGAAGGAGCCTGATCGAAGTAAATGTTGGTTGAATGGTAAGTAAATGAATGAGCATCCGCCCCCAACCCTTACACTCAATGATTGGTTTTGTTTACCTGTCTTGCCTCCTCCTGTATGTTAGGTAATCATATCTGGGAGCTTGAATTCATTTCTTAGGGCTGCTGTAACCAACAGAAATTCATTGTCTCAGTTCTGGGAGCTAGAAGTGTAAAATCAAGGTGTCCTCGGGGCCCTATTCCCTCGGAATGCTATAGGGAAAGCTCCTTTCTTGCCTTTTCCGGTTTCTGACAGCTCCAGGTATTCCTTGCCTTGTGGGAACAGAACTCCCATGTGGCTTTGTCTTCACATGGCCCTTTCTCCCCATGCTTCTCTATGTCTCCACAGGGCATTCGCCTCTCTGAATTTCTTCTTTTTTAAGGACACCAATCATATTAGATAAGGGCCCACCTAATGACTTCATTTTAACTATGTCTGCAAAGACCCTGTTTCCAAATAAGGTCACATCCACTGGGGTGAACTTGCATTTCCATTCACTGGGGATTAGGGCTTTAACAACTCTTTTTTCGGAGACGTGATTCAGCCTGTAACAGAGGTGATCTATGGAACACTGAAAAAGGACTAGGCAAACTAAACAGGAAGGGGGAGAACGTCCCTGGTTGAACGGCCAGCAGTAACATTTCCAGATGAACTCTCCCTGCTTTAAAGAGGGGACAGTATGTCAACTTTAAGGGGGTCTATGGGAGTGGTTTCTATTCCAGCTGGGCCCTTTTCCAGGCTGTAAATACCCCCATTTCCAGACAGTCCACAAAGCATTTTATGTGACTGAATGTGGGCTTCTGAGAAATGTAAATCTGTCAGGGACTATGCTAAGCCTTGACCTGCTTTCTCTTGTTTAATGTTGACAACTGCCCTGTGAGCTAGGTCCTATTGTTCCCTGAATTTTACATGAGAAGCTGAGTTTCACACAGGTTAGGGAGCAGACTCACAGCTGCTTCTTGCCTGAGCTGGGATTTATAACCAGCTCTAACTCCAGAAACCTTTCCGGGAAAGCCAGTGGTACTGTCCATCGACTCCGGGTGACTCCAGAGGCTAGAACTGCAATGCAGGAGTGGAAGTTAACAGGGGAGGTGACAATTCGGCTACATTTTAGGGAAAATCCTCTAATGCCTAGCCTTCTGTTTCTCCAACACCTAGAATTAACGGGTTTTTCCTGCATTTAGCGCCTTTGGCCACCAGCGATGTCTAGGCAGTGGCCAAGCGAGATTTTCGGTGCCCTTCCCAAGGCCATCCCACTCTGGAGGGAGCTGGAACTCTCTGCCCTATGGATATGAACTCTTTGTACATAAATGCGTTTGTGTGAGGAAAGGCCCGCTAGCTTTTCTGAGCCACAGAAGATAGAGAACCAGGAAGCTCCCTTATCAGGAACGAAGGTCCGGCATTGCAGCAAAGAGCAGCGGGGAAAGAACCTGCCGTCGGTGATCCCTCTCTGGGTCGGCATGCTCTCTGCTCAGCTCTTGTTATTTCAGTTGGGGGGGGGGGGGCATTTTTGCCTAGCTGCCGGTCCTGTGGCTGACACGGGTCTTCCCGAACTCCACTTCGTGTGGAGGAATCGCCCCGGCCCTGCATCTTCGCCCTGCTTCTGGCCAACGTCCACGCACCCTGACCTCTGACCTCCAACAGGAAGGTGTTGGAATCCCGCCTTGCTCCTTCCGGAGCTTTGAAATAAACTGTTGACGGTTATTCCTGGAGAAATTGCTGCTCCCTGCCACAGTCTGCCCTTCCTAGGAAGCACTTTTATTTTGTAGGAAGCAACGTCTGAGTCACTTTTTCTTGGGACTGGCCCCCTTCTTTCCTCAGAGACGGATCTATTTTAGGCACACTTTCTTTCCGAAAGGTCAAAAGTGCGCGTGTGTCGGGGGTGGAAGGAGGTTCCCAGCAAATGGTATCGGAGTCCAAGCAGCAGGACAAAACACGCATTAAATGAGCTCACACCGTCTCCAGGCTTTCCCGCAATCGTTGTCTCGTCTGGCCCCGACAACCATGTACGTGATAGAGGAGACTCTGGGCTTCAGGTATGACCTTTTCCACCTTTAGTAATGGAAACTGCGAGCCTCAGAGAGGTCAGGGGATCAGGGGATCTCTTCGCCCAAGGTCCCAAAGGCAGGATGGAAAGGAGTCGGGATTCGAACCCAACTCAAGGCCAGGTCATTCACGGCTGCTTTTTCACAAGAGGAGGCATTTGGAGGCTGAAGAGCTGGGCTCCTTGTCTCTCTCGCCTTCACTCGCTCGCTGCTGGACTTCAAGCTCCACGAGGGCGGGGAGCTACCGCGCCCTGGGCTTGGACCCAGCGCCGGCACCCAGCGGGCGCTCACGAACGGTCCGCCGGGCCGCTGATGGAAGTAGATCGGTTCTCCTTCTGCAGTGAGGCTCCTGAGCCTGCGGACACTGCATGCAGGCTGAGCACGACCGCTGCATGCAGTGGGTGTGGACGCGCTGGGTCGAGCCCTGAGCCCAACACCCGGGCACGGCTCCGTCTCGGGCGCCCCGGGGCACGGAGACCCGGCGCCGACCAGCGCAGCCTTAGGGACCTCGGACACCAGCCGCGCCGCAGCCGAGCCTCCGCGCCGCAATGCGCACGCGCGGCGCCGGCCCGGCTCCGCCCCCCCCT